AAACTTTTTTTGTTCATAACTTTTTTATAAACAATGAGCGACGGATAAAACCTTCATATTATTATTCAGAGAGGTGACCTTGATAACATATGTCAAAATTGTTGAGATCGGAAAATAGTCCGTATAACTGCATAATTACCGAAACTTTTCTTGTTTACAGAACCAAATAGTATTTTTGAGAATTGTTTTTAAAGAAAGTATGCGTTAAGTATTGTATTTATAAACTATTGTCGTAACATTTATTAATTTTATTTATATATATTGAGGTATCTTCAATTAAAAGTTTTAGTAAGACATCAATATTAATTTGAAATATTAATTACTATTTAGAGATAAAGCTATAAAAAAAGACACGTACTACAATTTTTCTCGACTCATAAGTGATCTAAAAATTATAAAAAAATTATATTTAGTAATGGTTGACTAAGGACATGAACTTAAAAAAAAAGAATTAAAAGAATTAAAAAATGACATTATTTTAAAATTAAAGATTAAATTTGAGCATATATATTGGTTTTTTATAGAAGAAGAAAAATTAGTAATTTTTTTTAATTTTAAGAAATTCAGAGTTTATTTTTTAAAATAGAATAAAAGTGTATGCACAATTGCAAAATGATCAATTCAAAACTTTTCTCACATTGTTTTAAAAACATAGTTTTAAAAAACTCATTTAAATAGAATTATTGTTAAGAAATTATAAATATTATTTATTTTTATCTAGTCAGCTTTTCTGTGGCAATGTAGATTTTCTATTTATTATAGAAATCATTTTTGGTTTGTTTTTCATGTTGGCAAGCAATTCTTGTCTCCAATGCCTACGATGTAGATACTTTGCAATCTCTAAACGCTTTCCGTCTTTGTTAAAACCTGCATGTTTAAGTTTAATTTTAATCTGTACTATCAAACAATTTGTACTATCAAAATTTGTGCTACAATGTGTAGCGGTTTTGTACAATTAAGATGTTTTAATATGTCATATTTGACAAAGGTAAAGCTTTTGTTATTATTTTGAGCATGTTTTTTTTTCAGGATCTTAATAACACTTTACAAAATCTTTTTTTCTAATAATCTAATAATCTAATAATCTTTTTTGTTAAATAAGTTTTTATATGTAAACTTTAAACTGAATAATAGAAAGTGAACATTAGTCGAGCGTTGAACCGACTATAGAGACCTGTAAATCGACGTTTTACTATTTCTGTGTCGTATTTATCGCATTAAATCCAAAATGCTTTTCTAAAAATAAGTAAACTGTGCTAAAAAAGTGCACTTGTTCTTTAGGATGTCAAAATTCAGCATACATTTTTTCTTATTCATTAGTATGTGGATACTTATGGCGCGTCAAAACAAACTCCCTCCACTCGGACCCACCACTCGAACTGGCGCCAGTGCCCCACCAAAGTGGTTTCCCCTTCCTTTTTAGTTTGGCCACACATTGGAGAGGATAGAAATGTGACATGATTTATGGCCCTATAAATTTTTTTATAAATGTTTTATAAATTTCTAAACATTTGAATTTTTTTTTTGAGGAATTTGTGTAAGAAGGAAGAGGAAAGTTCGAGAATGTTTGAATAAAAAAGTGTAATGTTTATTAAAATAATAGAGATGTTTATTGAAAAATCCGTCTTGAAGCGTAACTGGTAATGCTGTTGGTGCCGCTCCGATGTTGTTGCCTCGTACGTTCAAACGTGTATGAGAGGAAGCTGGCGTCGGTTGAGGGAGGAAGTGTAAGGGCGGGGGTGGCGTCGGTCCCAAGAAGAATCACTCAGCGTCTGATACAATATGGTTTCCAATGAGCGAGGTCCAGAGATAGTTGATGGGAATACTAGGGCCCTCGAGGAAGAACCAATGAGCGTCTGGCACAATATGACGTTGTTTAGGCAGGAGGTTTTCGGCGGACAATCGACTCCACTGCGCATATCTTCTTCTTCTGTAGTTGGTCTTCCTCCTCCGTTTTGATGTCGGTAGATGAAGCTGCAGATTGTATCATGCTGATCTCATCGCTGACAAAACCACTATCGAGTTGTTCTTTTTTTTTCAAGTACAACGCTGTTTAGGTTTAAGCAGCGTTTTAACCGAAAAGTGTTACGTAGAGCACAACTAATGTCAGATGAGCGAACTCCGTGATACAAACACTGTGATATATTCTCTTCGCTTTTCGAGATGGATTTGAATGACGGAGAGCTTCCAGATTATATATGGTTTTAGACAGAAGTTTTTCTAAGAAATCCATTTTTCCTTTATCTCTGGTGTAGATGACGGGAGCGTATTTGATGACTTCTCGAAGATGTCTCGTGAGATATGTGAAATTGGTTTCACCGTCAAACCATTCGATACCGTGATAAATTCGTGTAAACCAATTGTTGCATTGCTTTGATTTTTGCGGTAAAGAGAACAGAGGCATCAAGATCCGGCATCAGTTAGTGAAAATTGGTCAGTCCACTGCGACATACGCCACTTCTTTTGGAATAAATTCACGACGCCGCGAAACCCTTGCATTTCTTGATCACAGCACCTTTATACTCGGATATCGTGAAAACGAAGCGAAGATATCGGAGACTAGAACAAAACTGAAATTTCTCCACGAAACGCTTGCAACAAAAAACGTAGTAGTAGTAGAAAATAAAGGTGGAGGGAAAATATCTTGGTTTTACGTATGTGCAGAGCGGGAATATGATTATCCGTTATAATCTACAATTATTTAGCACGAAGAACGATTTCCAAAACACTGTCGAATTCCGCATAAACAAGGCAGTTAATAATCATTTCAAGAGCTTTTTTGAATCGTGCTGCAATTCGCAAACTAGCGTGCTTCACGAGATTTCAATGTTCGACGCACTTGGCCGATAAATCGGGAGTGAGATCAAAAGCGAAGAGTGTGTAGTCTCTGCTTATAGCATTGCTTTTATTTAGAAAATGAATGTTTGTTTTTGAGAAAAGAGTATGAAAAGCCTCGGTGTAGAGAGGATAGTCCCTTGAAAAAGAAGGTTGTAACGGTCTAGTAAGGACTTGCATTCCATTGACGTAAAGCGACACAAAATTTATATTAAAGTTTTTAAAATTAAACGAGGATTAAGTTTACTATCGCCATTAAACGCCCTATTTTCGACAAAACCGATTATCACTCGCTTCGGCAGTTGACCAAGTATGGCAGTTGATCTTGTGAATCGATTCTCCCACCACTTCTCTGTAGATCGTAAACGATTTAACTTCAACTCTCGTGAGAGGATACTTTGAAGTAGTAAAAACTCCTCAGCCTTTTTTTCGCAATATTTTAAAAATTAGTTAGGGGGATATACGGGGTCTTTCATATATGTGGTGCAAACCTAGCATCCTATATGATTTAAAGAATTGTTATTTGAGTTCAAAAAATCACGTAACAAATTTACACGTGAACGCATATATATAAATGTATGTATACATATATATACGCACATTATTTCCGCATAACATCCTGCGATCGGCTCTTACTGACCAGACTTACATATATTTATTAGTTTGATACTAAAGAGCCAGAGATAATTCTCTGTTAATTATTCCTTTGCAGTGATTTTGCTCAGCATTTTAGCGTGAGCTAATAAAACTTCAGCGCTTAGATTTGCTTTCTTCATAATCAAGGTAGCGTCTACAATACGAACTTTTGCCTGTGGCGTAAGTTCCATGAGACAGAAAGAATCCTTCGAGCGGATGAGTCTTAGTCGCATTTCCACGCCATTAATCAAGAATTTATCCTGATTGAAAACGTCGCAATGTAGATGTCCTATGAGATCCACAGCACGGTTACTTTTGAAATACTGCATACGTCTCATGAAAGCGGGGTTCTCAGTTGGAGCATCGAACCTCGCATCCAAATGCCCTAGAGAATCGCTATCCCATAAACAGATGGTGAGATGAGAGAATTTTGCCTCTAAAGAATAATTCAACAATGTCTCGAAATAGGCTCGATACGCGTAAGCATTGTTCGGAGGCGATGCAAGGTTTTGATTGAAGTACACATCGATTTGATTAAACATGGAATGTAAAAAGGTATTTACAGGCCCTACTTTATGTTCTGCAACGGCAATGCCGCTAGAAGTTATAGCCGGAGTAGGCAGAGTACCCGCTGCTTCGACGGGAATTTGTATCACGCGAAGAC